TAAAATATCCAATTAACAAGTTTCACATTTTATTTTCTTTCCAAAATGTATTTCTTTCCAAAGTATTACAGATGTTTCTTTTGTATGTTTGTGTTTTTTTCCCATTGAACCCTCCATTCCATATCCACCTCTTCAAGGCCTTCACCACTATATTATCTATGTACATTGGGTTATTTACTAGTATATATGCATAGAAGTTCCCTGGTTAATCATTCCTATCCACCCTCCAACTCCTGCTTTTCCTCTGAAATCCCTCACTCTGTTCCATGCTGCTTCGTCTCTGCTTTTATTTTATTCATCAGTTTATTTTTTCATTAGATTCCACATATGAGTAAGAACATGAGATACTTACCTTTCTCTGACTGGCTTATTTTGCTTAGCATTATACTGTCTAGATCTATCCAAGCTGTTGCAAATGGTAAGAGTTCTTTCTTTATTACTGCCACATAGCATTTTATTGTGTAAACGTACCACAGCGTTTTTATCCACTCATCTGCTGATGGGCACTTGAGACAAATGGCAGTTCCATATTTAATTTTTTGAGGAAACTCCATAATGGCTGCACAAGAATGCATTTCCACCAGCAGTGTACTTGGGTTGCCATTTCTTCACATCCTCGCCAAAATATTCTGTGAAGCATCTACCTGTAACCACAGGATCAGAACATGGTTAAACTGGAATATGAACTTATTTCTACCTGGCTCCAAAGGTTGTGTTTTAATACTCTTTTAAAATATTTTTTCTTGATTTCAGAGACAGGAAGAAGGATTGAGACACAATCCAGACATGTGCCTTGACTTGAAATTAAACCATAACCGGTATTTCATGGGTAGATGCTTAACTACTGAGCCGGAAGGGGAAGATTACCAAAGAAGAGCCCTGCTGCACAGAGATTTCAGTTACTCCACTGGCCACCTCTTCAGTGTCCCGCACAGCCCAGGATGAAATTAATTCTGCAGTGAAGAGGCTGTTATTGCTAAAAATGAGCTAAAACATGGCCACCGGGGAGAACTACAAGGCCACTGCCTTCCAGAGAACCTTGTACCTGGGTTAGTGGCCCCGGTGCCATGGAAGCTGAAGTGGATTTTGTGGACCCCTGAACTGTACAGAGGAACAGTGCAAATGGCATTGACTATGTCAAGCTTATTGTTCTGTTTGGCAGCAGTAACATTGACCAAGAGCTGATAAACAGAATAGAGAGAGCCAGGGGCCAGAGACCACACCGCTTCCGGCACAGATGCACCTTCTTCTCACACAAAGACATGAACCAAGTCCTCGATGCCTGTGAAAACAAGAAGCTGTTTCGCCTGTATATGGGCAGGGGCCCCTCTTCCAACGCCATGCATGTAGGCCACCACATCCCATTCATTTTCACAAAGTGGCTGCGGTACATGTTTAATGTGCTCTTGCTCATCCAGATGACCGATGACTAGAAGTACCTGTGGAAGACCTGACCCTGGACCAGGCCTATGGCTACGCCATGGAAAACACCAAGGACATCATCACCTGCGGCTTTGACATCAACAAGCCCATCTTCTCTGACCTCGACTACCTGGGGGTGAGCCCAGACTTCTACAAGAACATGGTGAAGATCAGAAGCACATGAACTTCAACCAAGTGAAAGGCATTTTTGGCTTTTCAGACAGTGACTTCAAGGGGAAGATCAGCTTTCCTACCATCCAGGTTTCTCCCTCCTTCAGCAACTCATTCCCACAGAACTTTGGGGGCAAGATGGACGTCCAGGACCTCATCTCCTGTGCCTTCAACCAGGATCCTTACTTCAGGATCCTTACAAGATATGTCACACCCAGGATCTGCTATCCTAAACCATCCTGCTACACTCGACCTTCTTCCCCTCCCTGCAGGGGACTCAGACCCAAAGGAGTGCCAGCAACCCCAACTCCCCCATCTTCCTCACAGACACAGTCAAGCAGAGCAATCCAAGGTCAACAAGCATGCATTTTCTGGAGGGAGAGACACCATCGAGGAGCACAGGCAGTTTGGGGGAAACTGCCACGGGGACATGTCCTTCATGTACATGACCTTCTTCCTCGAGGATGAGGAAAAGCTGGAGCAGATCAGGAAGGATTACAGCAGTGGAGCCATGCTCACCTGGGAGCTCAGGAAGGAGCTCCTGCAGGACCTGCAGCCCCTCCTTGCGGAGCACCAGGCCAGGTGCAAGGAGGCCAGGGAGGAGATAGTCAGTGTTCTTGACCCCCAGGAAGCTGTCCTATGACTTTCAATAACACCCATTTTATATCTGCACAGAAAGAACCATAATTTACCCAGAGGCTCTGTCACATGGCTTCCGGTTCCTGGTGTCTGTAACCCTGTGTGTCTGTCCTTACTGTTTCTCCCTGTGTCATCCTTTCCAAACAAACCTTGTGAGCTGCCTGCTCCGCCCCAAGGAGGACTTCCATTGGAAAACATCCAACCTTTCCACACAGACCCTTAAAGCCTGCTGGTTAGAGAGCCTGTGGTCTAGGTGTACATTTCAGGAAGTTTAATGGGCACAGGCCTATTTCAGCCCATCCCCCCAAAAAGCAAACAGAAATGCTAGCTGTGCTTTTGACTGAGAGATCTCCCAGCTTGAAAGCTGCTTTTCACACTGAGTATTGGCCCCAGGTGGCCGCTTTTATTAAGTTGAATCTGTGGGAGAAACTTTCCAGCTCACTTCCTGAAATCCAGACCTCATGTGTTCTCCTGGAAACTCTGCCCTTCCCTGAGCCTCCCCATGCTGCTTCCAGGGACTGGCCCTGAGCACAGGCACTGTGCCCCCACCCTGTGGCAGCTGAGGGGAATGGGTGTCCTTTGTAGATAGGTTTGTCCGGACACTTGATTGGTTCAGAGGCCTACAAGGAGCAGTGCCCTACTGGTGTCCTGGGTTGTAGAGAGCAAGCAGCAGCCCCAGGCACCAAGAAAAACATTCAGTCTTGTAACCTGCGTAGTCTGGGAAACCAAAAAATATTCTGGGAAAGCCTCCATGGAGGTTTAGGGTCCACTCCTGAGCACTATACCCTAAATAAACTTCATTTGGTCCCATGGGGGGTGAGTGTGGGGGTGGAGTAAGTATATGACATCCAAAGCATGTTTCTTGGCCAACCCACCTTTGTGAACATCCCATTGAATTAATTAGCCATTTCAGTGGGAAAAAAGTTAGTCTGTCTTTATCATTTTCAGGCTGCCTTCCTCACATTTAACACCCACATTTTTGGAGTCATGGGGAATCTCTGCATGACATCATGTGACGAGACATGACAAGAAGCAGGGACTATAAGATATGATGATTTGCCTCAGGAATTTTTGACCCTAAGAATATTGAAATTAATAGGAAGATTTGAAAAGGGTTCAAAAAGGTCTAACTAAATACTTATTTTTTTAAAAAATATTTCACTTTATTCTATTCCATAGATGAGCGTATATTATCTTCTGTTCAGCTAAAGAGTGGCATCATTGATTTAATATATGTCTGAATATATTTTTCTTCTAGATTAGGGGGACAGTAAATTTTACTGTAAAAATTCAGATAGGAAATATTTTAGGCTTGTAGGCCATACAATCTCTGTGACAAATTCTCATGTTTTAGTGCAAAGGTAGCCATAGACAATTCACAAACAATACATAAAGTTACTTTGGCTACTGGTTACAAGTTCTGCTTAACAAAATAATTGTCATAGTGCATTATAAATTGAATATTATTGGAGCAATACAGTTCTTTCATTCTGCACAATTATTTTGAGATTCATCCCATGCAGTAGCTGGCATAATTTTTTTTTTTCTAAATATACTAGAGGCCTGGTGGAAGAAATTCATGCACAGGTACAGTCCCGAGGCCTGGCCTGTGATCAGGGCCATCTCCCTCGGCTGCCCTGAGCCAGCCCCATTCCACGCTGCCACCCACCCCCAGTTCCCGGTTTGCCATCGGGTAATCAGAGCCTGCCGGCCAGGGGAAAGAACTGAGAGGTCAGCCATTCTGTCTGCTCGCCGGTCCTGCCCCCGACGTGGTTGGCCTCTGTGTGTGGGGCGACTGGTGGGGTGGGGGCCTTGGACTGGCGCCACCTGCATACCCGCCACCCACCCCCGGTTCCCCTTTTGCCATTGGGATATTGGAGCCTGCAGGCCAGGGAAAAAACTTAGATGTGGTCAGTGCGCCTCATAGTGAATGGCTGAGTAGTCATTCTGGTTGTTCCACCATTAGGGTCAATTTGCATATTACCCTTTTATTATATAGGATAGAGGCCCAGAACACAGGTGGGCTGGCCAACCTGCCCTGATGGGGGCCTCAATTGGGGTGGGGGGTCTCCACCAGGGGGTGAGGCTGGCTGGGGTGAGGGGCCATGGGTGGTTTTCAGGCTGGCCACTACCTGACCAGGGTGGGATCCCCTCTGGGGGTGGGGCTGGCCAGGACAAGGGGCAGCAGTAGTTCTGGTCTCTGGTTGTTTTGGTTGTTCTGACATTTTGGTCTCTGGAATTTTATTATATAGGATTTTTACTGATTTTCAGAGAAGGAGAGGAAGAGAGAGAAATATCAATGTTGAGAGAGAATCATTAATCAGCTGCATCCTGCATGCACCACCACTCAGTATCGAGCCTGCACCCCAGGCATATGCCCTCACCTGGAATGGAACCATGACCTCCTGGTTCACAGGTCAATGCTCAACCACTGAGCCACATTGGCTGGGCAACAAGATGCTTTTTAAGTAATTCTTTCATTTATAGTTACGTTTAATAAATAATTAAAATAAAAATATAATACTCCTAATGCAATAAAAACCAAGAGGAGTATATGTAAATATTGACTTCATAGTTGGTAAAATACATAACACATTGATGAACCCAAGCAGAAGCTTATTTAGAAATTTTTATTAGCACTAGGTGTTAAATTTATAGATGTTGTGGAATCAAATTGTCCATACACAGTGAGGCACTCATGGTGAATTCTGACTCATGTTAAAATGAGAGAGACACACTAGCCAAGTGAGTAGTAAATAGAAAATTGTCTAATCCTCTTTATTCCCTGAGTCCTCCTCTTTGGGTTTGAAGAGGATTACTCGGTGTATAGGAGTCTTCACAGACTCATATGTCCATCCCTTCCTTAAAAACATCTTCTCAGTCACAACTGGCATCTTGTAGCCCTTGCTTACAATGAAATCTTTGAAGGCAATTGGTCCATAAGGTTCATCAATAATGTCTGGTTCAAGATGCCTTCCATAGGTCCAATGTTCCTTGTCAGGGACGACTTTAGGGTCAGGCAAAGGCTGGTCATTGACCAGCTTTTTCCAGCATTTGGGGTCCAGGTACCATGCTCCATACCTTATCTTCTCCCTTTTGGGTTTATAAGGGTCTTCAGGTTTTCGGAGTTTTCTTCCCCAGTTACCTTCCTGCAGGGAGAATTTTCTCTGCTGTATGTCATCTAGCTGTTTGCAGGGCCTTATATTCAAAGGAAGCTGGCTTATTTTCTTTATTTTGACTGCATTATTGGTGAGTGGGACCTCAAAGTCAATTTCAAACTTTTTCAAGATATACTCTTCATCAATGCCTATGTCTCCAAAATTATCATCGATCCATCTGCAGAATTCACGAACTCTTCTTCTTGATTGTTGGAGCCCAGGAACTTTGGGGATATCCTTTGTGCATGCTGCATTTGTCTCTTCCTCAGGAAACAAACTGAATAAATATGACTGGAGACTCTCCTTGGCCATTTCCAGGTGGGCTTTGTTTTCAGGTTCCAGGTTGACCTCCTCGGAGGTTCCAGTTTGAGCTTCCAGGGAGATTCGAGGTTGACGGCCTGGGGAGGTTCCAGGTTGAGCTTCCAGGGAGATTCGGGGTGGACTGCCTCGGGAGGTCCTAGGTTCACTGCCTGGGGAGGCTCCAGGTTCACTGCCTGGGGAGGTTCCAGGTTGAGCTCCTCAGGATGTTCTTCACACAGGTGTGTGGGGGTCTTCTTTCTTTCCTTGGTGCCCTCACAATACGCCCACGTGTCCTCCAGCTCCCTGTCAGGATCTACCACTTCCAGGACCTTGAGCATGAGGTCTGGAGGGAGAGCTGCCTCCAGATTCGGGCAGTTCGCCAAGGGATGCTTGGTCAGGCTGGCTTCAATGTTCTCTACAAAGGCCTTCCGTGCTCGCTGGGCTGGCGAGAGCTTGGAACACAGGTCCGCTCCCTTGGGCGGCTGCCTGTGAATCTTTTTGGGCGGAGGGCGGGGAATTCTATGAGCAACCATGGGGAGAAAGCCCTCCCGAGGCCACGAGTGATCACATCTTCAGGAGATGGACAGCCCGTTCTGAAGTCGTCCAGTCCCTCCTTCACAAATACCCACCGCCTGCTGTCCATGGAGGTGGGGCACTTCCCAAGCTTGTTGTTCTGCCTGGAGAGATAGCGGGAAGGCAACCTGTCCCTGTCCTTGAACCAGGGTTTACATTTCATGCCCAGGGGCAAGGGCTCCAGGGGCCCCGGCCCTAGCAGCCACTTCTTGTTGAGCTCTGGCTTCTTGTACAGCTTCGGCCCTGACTGCCATGGTTTGATCAGCCCCGACTCTATGAGCTCCTTCTTCCTCAGGTCCGACTTTAACAGCCACCCCTTGTGGGGCTCCGGTAAGGGCCACTGCTGGCCCGCCATGGCGCCCTTGGCCCAGGGCACCCAGGGGCCTCAGGGGTTTGTTGTCCCAGCCACCCAGTTGCTAGGAGACCATTGCCAGGTGCTGCAGCATTCTTATTCTTTCCCGAGGGGGTCAGCATGCACCCCTGCACAGCCTGCATTGTCCCGGGATGGCCTGCAAGGTTGCATTCTTGCTTGTGATAGAGAACTGTTCCCGTGTATGGGCACACCACAGGTCAGTTGCCCATTCATCTTTTGATGGACTTTTGGATTGATTTCAGTTTGAGGCTGTTTGGAAATCAAGGGGCCACGAATATTTCACGTGTTCAGATCTTCATACAAGTACTTTCATTTCTCCTGGATAAATTATAGGTAGCAATTGATAGGTGGGAGCTTCTGAGAGCCGTGTTTTTTCTATGTACTCACAGCCCTCTGGTTTTGACATTTTCCCAAATATGGGTGAGGTGAGTGAGGCATTGGGTATACAACTTAAGGTGGCACCCAAAATCCCCCTCAGAAATCTAGATCAATTATCTTTTAAGGTAACATTTTCAACATAATCAGAAAAACAGTGCCATATTAAAGTCTGAGGACAAAGGATAGATCACTACCCTACTACTGATCCTGTTTTTATTTAAAACCCATGTGTTGTTCAACATCCACTTTCTTTTTACAAATAATATTTGCCCTTTCTGGATGCTGTTGTGTTTCTTGGAAACAGTTTGATTCTTTGGGATCCATTTTAAGATTTGATTGAAATAAACAGAGCAGTTCCCTGTAATATTACATGGCTAAATACTGTTATACCATGTGGTATGGTTAATTAACTGTTCGTCACTACTGAAACAAGACCCTTTCACATAAATTACTATTATTAATATCATTATTAATATTATTGTTTCCTACTGTATGAAGCACAGGGAGAATATCTCCATTTAAGGATAAGAAAGAAGTGACATTTTCAGAGGAAAAATGACAATTAGCCTAAAGGTAATGTCCAGTATATTCAAACCCCTTTAAAAGTTCACTATTGTCCCTGTTTGTCATATGTCATATACTTTTTCCAAAGAGGAAAGATAGATGTGCAACAGAAATTACATGTACCCATTATTGAAATTATCAATTGAATCCTAGCTGTTTTGGATCATTGGATAAAGCCTTAGCCTGGGGACTAAAGTGTCCCAGGTAACATTTTGGTCAAGGTCACATGTCCTGGTGATGGGGGCAGGGAGGCTCAATCCCCAGTAGGGGCCTACAAGGGGCAGCTGATCAATGATTCTCTCTCATCACTGATGTTTCTATCCCCCTTTCCCTCTCCCTATCTCTCTAAAATGAATATATATATATATATATATATATATATATATATATATATATATAATTAGCCAATGAAATACAATGAATGATCATCAGGTGTTCCAAATAATGTTTCTAGAGCTCTCTTCACTCTTAAATACAAGAGGTTAGATTACTGTATGAACATCAGCATCTTCCAAGTATTCATCGTACTCTGGCTATGGCAGTTAACATTAGGAAATATGGCTATTGAAAAAGAGCCTGCTCTAGTTGTTTGCCATCTCCCAAAGCAAATATTTCTGAAGAGTGATTATTGATGTAGAGTACTTATCTTTCTCAATTGTCCCATTTTTTGCTTCTTAAATAGACAACATGTGAAGAATGTGTCTTACAGGGAGTTGTTACCATAACTTTGATCACTTATAATATTCACATTTAAAATAATTCCTGTACCTTGTAATGTAGCAACATTTTTCAACATCAGATTATTCCACTAACTTCCCCTTTTAGTTTTCATTTTTTAAAAAATCAAAATGACATTGTTTCTGGATCTATTTTGTGCATCGATTTATTTTGTTCATTAGATTCCACATATGAGTAAGATCATGTGATACTTACCTTTCTCTGACTGGCTTATTTCATTTAGCATAATGGTCTCCAGGTCAATCCACGCTGTTGCAAATATTTGTATCTTGCAAGTACTTTATCTGTCCTTTAATTGTTTCCTTCTATAGTAGACTTTTTTTTCATTTTTTCCCTTTATTGAATAAGATATTACAAATGTGTCCTTATCCCCCCAACCTCCCCTCATCCCCCCAATCCTGCCCTCATCCTCACCCCCTGTTGTCCCCATCCACCACTTATGCTTATAGGCATGCATACAAGTCCTTTGGTTGATCTTTCCCCCTCATCCCCACCCTCCCCTGCTTTCATTCTGAGTTTTGAGCATCTGATCATTGCTTCTCTCTCTCTACATCTGTTTTTGTTCATCGGTTTACGTTATTCATTATAATCCACAAATAAGTGAGAGCATGTGATATTTATCTTTCTCTGACTGACTTTTTCACTTAGCATAATGGATGGAGCTGGAGAGCATTATGGTATTTTTATTTTATAAATCTATTTTCTTCCCTTCAAATTCTGAGAATAGGAATTTGAATTTTTGGTAAAATCATCTTTTATTTCAATATTTTATCTGAGTTTTCCCCCAAAATGACATAGTTCTGTGTGTTTATTGTGATCTTCTATTTTACCTTCCTCATACATCTGGCAAACCTTTTTCATTTATATGTATGAATAAAGGACTTACTTGATTCACCTCGGTAAGTAGCATGGATCTGATCTAGAATTGTGATGTCCATTTCACTACTAGGGTTTTGCTCAAAATGGGAGATTGGAGGGTGTCAGTTATTCAGTTTCTTTCTCCTTTGGGGATACATGGCATGGAGCTTACAGGTAGGATAGGAACACTTTCTGATGCCAAAATAAACACAATATTTCTCACATTGGAACACTAGTGTTTTTTCCTTCTAGGAAAATGTGTCCTATTGTTTCCCTTCTCTGCAGGTCTGTAATTGTCTTACATTCATTCACTGTCTTAGAGTGTAGTTTGGGGAGATTAAAAGGCTCAGATGCCAAAGATGTTTACTGTTCTGTGTAAGTAGGGATGGGGGAGGGTTAGAGCTGAGCAAGTTAAAACAAATCTGCTATTCACAGAGCAGCTATGTACTCTCACAATTGACCAAGGGCCATCCGCAGTGTTGCAATTTCGTTTACTCTGTTCTTAGAGTAAGGGGTCTCCATCTTGCTACCCAGATGTTAACAAATATGAATATTTGCATATTTTAGTAAACCAAAAGCTGTAGGTTAAATACAAGAATCCTTTCTTTTAATCCCTGCCCAATCCCATTCTATTCACCCTTATTTCAGAGACAAGCACACCTGTGATTTTAAGGATATGTTTTATACTCTAGCATGAACATTCATCCACATTCACAGGGCCCAAGACCATCCACCTGACTGCACCCCCGTATACATTGTTTATAAGGGGTAGGTTAATTTTTTGTTTTCCCAGGTGCCAAGGAATACCTCCTCTTCCATCCAGGGTCCCACAGACACCTCCTCCTCCATCCAGGTTCACATGGAATAACTCCTCCCTCCATCCATCCAGGGTTCCACAGAATAACTCTTCACTCCTTCAGGGTCCCACTAAATAACTCCTCCCTCCATCCATTCAAGGTCCCAAGGAATAACTCCTCCCTCCATCCATCCAGGGTTCAATGGAATC